AGGTCTGGCTCCTTACAACCAGAAAAACCTTTCATTTCTCTGATTTTCTAGAACTCATTTAGCTTGAATTTACAAACTGGTCCATGGGATTCATAGAACTTTTAAAAATCTCTTAGTATCAAAGCAACCTTTCTGTTTTTGTTACCAGGTTTAATGGCTTTAAAATTAAGTATTGCAAAGAAACCTATGGGCTACTGATAATATAGTTCAAGACGCATTGGAAGCAGACAAATATGAATTATATCAAATCCAATCAAAATCACGGAAGACTTATAAGCTTGACATCTAGTCACTGCAGTTTTATTAGAAATCAGAACAAACTGAACTTCTCATTCTTCTGTATTTCTCAGTGCAGATGACATACAAGGAGGTACACTGTGGACATGTCAACCTTACCAAACATGGACACAGCCGTAGCGTTGTTAGCCATGAGCCAAGTACATGCCATGTAATGTTTTACATACATTTCCTGTGATCATAATCGCCTCCCAAGTTCAGCACTGTTGACTTCATTTCACAGATGAAGAATGTGATTCTCGAAGTTAATATTCCTACACCGAGACAGCCAGTAAGTTGCAGGGCCAGAGTTGATAGCCACATGAGACTAGAAAGCGTGCACACTACTCCCTACTCATTACTGCCCGATTTCTGGGGGAATATGTTTGTGATATCTCCATTTATTTGCAGATAATTCTTTGAGAGGAAGACAGTGTTTTTGTATGGATGTTGCTAGATATGAAATTCTCATTGAGATTTCAAAAAATATTTGAGGTCCCCTACCTTATACATATTCTCTGCATCATTTGCCAAAAATGCCCCAATTCCACCTTTTGCTTCTCCAGTCTATCTCTGGCCTACTAAAAAAGGGATAACAGGCGAGCTTCAACAATATGGGAAGCCTGGCTTTTAATGAATGTCCACGCAGGCTCTCTTTCACAGTCAGGTGCACTATGCAGCCTCTCTGCCTTCATTTGCACAGGATTCACCTGTCAGGGCCCATTAACACTAATGGGTCATTTCCCTTCCATCACTCCAAGAATCAAAAGGAGAAATTGCACTTTCGATGCGGTGGTAATGGCACCCGGGGCTGAGACCACTTAAGAGTTTCCTTTGTTGTCATCATGTGGCAACCCACCAAGGGACTTCAGGCACTCTCCGCTATAGGAAGAGTTTGTAAGAGCCATACTGGGTGGTGATGCTAAGTGCTGCCTCTGTAATGAAAACGCAAATGAGTCCCCTACTTAAGAAGCCAAACTCATCCACTTTGGTAGGCTTGTTGAGGTTTGCATGCTCAACACTGAATTGATATTTTCTGCTCTTTAGTAACACCAGGGAAAGATACTACGTCTTTTCAATAAGTTCTAAAAAGTTGTCAGAAAACCAGGTTGGCTAATGGGAAAGCAGGAAGTGGGGAGAAGGAAGGAAATTCATTTGGTAATTAGCACTCTCTCCATGGGATCCCTTATTATCCTTTTGTTTTTTTTATTGTTATCTTAATATGTCAAGTGGATGGCAATATTTATTGGGTTCCTGTTGCTTTTTGAGCCTGATATTGGGCACATGGGAGAATGTCAAAACAAAGACTCACTGTGTCCTCCGGGAAGTTGCAATCAGAAAGAGGAAGACTTGACAATCAAATATGTAGTATTTCATACATAACTGTTAGTACTAGGTTCTACATCTGCAAAGCCTGAAGCAGTGCTAAGAATTCTTCCTTTAATTCCCTGTTCTCTAACATTTCATTGGCCGGAGCAGAGATAAAATATTTTTTTCACAAATTTAAACAAATGAACATAGGGAGCATATACTTGAGTAGATATTTGACAAGTGAAGGTATAAATCTTAGCTGATATTCTCTAATGTGGGAGAAGGTAACTTTTTTCTACAACTCTCCTTGGTTTCTATTTTGAACTCTTATTCTTTTTTTTTTGGTACCGGGGAACGAACTTGGGTCCTTGTGCTTGCGAGGCAGGCCACCGAACCGCTGAGCTAAATCCCTGGCCCTTGAACTCTTATTCTTTGAGTTAGTGAAAATATAACCTCAGGCAATTTTAGTTCCCTTTTTACCCCTGGAGTTAAGTGTAAATTACAGGCAGTGGGGGACAGAAGTTTCCACTGTATCAGTTTTTGGAGGAAGTAGAGAGAGGGAGCATGGGTGTGTTTATCAAATATTCTGTGTCACGATTTAGGTGTCCACTGAATTTATACCCCACCTTTTTTGTTCTTGTGTGCATTACTTCTTCAAATCAGACTTTTTCTACTATTTCTGGAGCATTTGGAAATTATTCTGTTGCTTCCTCAGCACAGAGGTGGATACAAAGTTTCATGAGGCTCTCGCTGCTCGCAGGAAGTCTAACTCTACCATTTCTTCTCAAGAATCCCTGCCGCCTTTGGTTCGTCTGAGAAAATGCACACAGATGTACCTCAGCCCCCTCTACATACTTTAAGTTTTGACACCACCAAAGCTGGGCTCCTAAATTAGAAAACTGTTCCCTCTTTTTGGCACTCATCAATGACTGCTATGCTCCTCCATCTTATCTTCTGCCTGCCCAAATGGGGTGCAGGAAAGCTTTATTCTTCGCATGTAAATGCCTGTATATTTTGTCTATTTTATTCCTAGAAGGTCTAGACTTTTAGGACTTAAACAGAATGCTAATTTTCTATCTTTATAATTCATAAACTTTCTCTGAGGCAAGTTATACACAGTGGCTTAAAGTTTCAGTGAGAGGAAAAACAAAAGGGAGGACGGAGATATGGAGGAAAGAAAATAGTACTTCAAAACTATTACCCAGACCAAAAACGTACTATCCTTTAAGATTAAGGATGATGCTTAGTAGTTAATAAACCTTAATTTTATGTAAGAGATGGGAGAAGTAGCAACATCCACTATTTCCTGTAAAAATTGTGGAGGATCAATGATATCCTAGAATAATACAGCTTAGATTAGTAAATTAAGGAACCATATATCCCAGTTTGTAACCTTGATAAAGCCCTGTGACTGTTTTGTCTTTCTCTTTCAGCAAAGAAATATTATTTTCTTTTTTTTCTCTCACCGAATTTATTGGTACATTTTAGGTATACAGTACAGTTACATTCATCATCGGCATCTTGTACTTTTACGTGACAGGTTTTGGTTCTCACGTTTCTTTCAGTATACTCAAAGATGCAATTCAGAAGTTTCAGATTTGTAGTTTGGTTCTATTTCGCTTATGCACAAAGAAGTTAGCTTGGTGAGTGCTGGGAGAACACAGATTTCTGGATCAAAAGCCAAGGACTTTGCACTCTCACTTGGAGAAATAGCATGCGTATCAGTTTGTTCTTTTTCCAGGTCTCATGCGAGCAGCATGAGATCCAGGTGAGCATGAGAGATGTACTACATGGGAAAGATGTGCCAAGTGACGTGGAAGTGTATAAAAGGGTTAATATGAGAGAGTAAATTCAGATGATAATGAAAAGTTGAAGAAATTTCTGAAGAGTATGTCATGACAGCTTGTAGACAGGAGCAGTGTTTTATGGAATTTTGAGATTACCCTCTGCACTAATTGTTTACTAGAGTCTGGTAATTGCACCTACTGAATGCCATGCAGATACGGTGATAATATGCAATAGGAAAAGAGGCAGAATCGAGTGTGAATTGAAATCTTTTTTTTTTTAGTGATGACTCATAAAGTTAACCAATCCTGACCTTAGAGACCTAGAGATGACAAAGATAAGCAAAATGTTCCATTAGAACGTGCAAAGAAACAGGACAAAATAAATTTGTAACTAGTTAAAAAAAATCTGAAGCCAGCATCTAGTTGAAAGTGATGTTATTTAAAAAGGAAACACCTGAAGGACATAATCTACAGGTTCACATGGACTCGTATGGGAATTAGTGTGCAAGACCTACGAACAAGTATAATGGGCTTACATGCTGTTCAGAAGGTAACTTTAGTCACTAGAGGGAAATTGGACTTCTGATTAACTGAAAGTCCCACAGTTCTCTAAACAGAAAGTAAATTTAGTAGGAGAGCCTAGCGATTGAACGCCTGCTACATATCTTTGTATTTTCCCCTCTGATGATACTTCCTGTGTGTTACCCCACTTCATCCTCATAATCTAAGGATAAGAGTTTGGATCTCATTTTGAAAATGTGGCTACTAATCATCAGAAACTAAAGACAATGTAGTTGGTAAATAACTGGGTTTCAGTTTCCGTTTTCCCCTTCCTTCCTTCCTTCCTTCCTTCCTTCCTTCCTTCCTTCCTTCCTTCCTTCCTTCCTTCCTTTCTTTCTTTCTTTCTTTTGAGGCAGTAGCTCACTATGCAGTTCAGGCTGGCTTTGAGCTCACTATGTACCCCAGGCTGACGTCAAACTCTATGTAATCCTCCTGGCTCAGCCTCCCTAATGCTGGAATTCCAGCCATGCATCACCATGCCTGGTCGTTTGATTTCCATTTTCTAGGAACTTCTTCTAGGTTTAATATATTATTTCTTTCTTTCTTTTTGTGGTACCAGGGATCAAACTCAGGACTTTGTACTTGCAGGGCAGGCACGGGTGCCACTGGGCTAAATCCCCAGTCCTAGGGTTAATGTATTATTGAAGTATTTTTATTATTTTTACACTTAGGAAAACAGTGATTCATAAATTTAGTTTTTTATTAATTAATTTAATTAAAAATAAACCTCTTCTTTCATTTCTCCTTCCCCTTTGGACCTTTTCTTCCTATTTCACATTATCTATTATACATTTTGATCCTGTTTACACAAAGTCTTCATAAATAGGGAGGGGTGGAGGGTTTAAAGGGAGGGCAGGGGAATGGGGAAAAATAAAAACCAAGATGAATCATGTAAATGTACAAATTCCCAGTGATGAATGTCATCATATCGTATACCTAAAATGTACCAGTAAACTTAATGAATAATAAAAACAACCTCTCTCCTTTCTCTTTCCACCATACCGTGTGTTTAAAGTGAATGATGTGCTTGCTACTTCTGTGACATGGAGTCTGATCTTCCCACAGGTGACTTGTACATAGGAGGAGTGGCTAAAGAAACCTACAAATCCTTGCCAAAACTGGTCCACGCCAAGGAGGGCTTCCAGGGCTGCCTGGCATCCGTTGACCTAAATGGACGCCTCCCGGACCTCATCTCAGATGCTCTTTTCTGCAATGGACAGATTGAGAGGGGATGCGAAGGTACGAAGTCTTTGTCAGCACACTCTAAATAATTCTGATGCCACCTACGAGAGAGGACAAATCTCACTGCCCGGCACAATGCTACTCGCAAGTTGAACTCCCACTTCAGGTCTAGAAATGCTCCTTAGTGTTTTATACTTTTCATCCCACAAATTGAGCTGTTCGCAGGCCTATACTCATGCCTGATGTAAAGTGGGGGCTGTTATCTGTAGATCCTGTTATTTTCTCCGTCTTTGCATCCTGCAGTCCACCTGATGTGTGCGTGTATCAGTTCTGCAGTGTGTACTTCACAGAATTACATGGACACCCCACTTAATGTAGCAAATATATTTATCCTGTAAGTAGTAGCTAGCTTGGGCCCATTATTTAAAACCTGCAGTCAATGAGATATGAAATAAAAATTAAAGTTCAGACCCTCCCATTTTCGAATCACTCTTTGATTTATGTGTACCTGGCATCAAATATGTATCTAGTATATTAGCTATTTTGGGAAAAATAGGTTTCATATGTTCTATGAGGCTAATATTGTACACTTCAGAATTGGACTTAAGTGCCTTTCCTTCTTTTGTATGTTCTACCAGACCAAGATCTATAGGATTTTTGATAGTTACTTTTATTTTAAATAATTTTCACTATAATGCCTCAGATTATTTGAGTCAATTCTCCTTCCATAAATATAATTTAATCACATTATCATGAGTTGTGTGGCTCTGGATATATTGTTGCTTTTCCTTTAGTGTGAAACAGTTTGGTACATTTTGAAAATTTTTGATTCCTACAGAAATTTTATGTAGGAGAAAAAGAAACAAATGTGAATTCCTATCCCCCAGGAGATTATGAATCATTTCTTCTCAGCTAAAATATTGCTGTTATATTTATCAGCATGAACATTTTTTATTTGAACTTACATATTTTCTCTCTCTGAAACATGTTTCTCTAAAAAGTTAGGTGAAATTCAAGCTTTGTTGAAATAATACGCTTCTTAATGACAGGCTTTATTATATTCTTTTAATGATATTTCCATATTTAACATATTTAATCTGTTTAGTTCAAATCTTAATATAACACTTCTGTAAAACAGAATTTGTTTTCTCCTACCAATTTATTAAAGGAAACAAAATTATTAAGTGAATAAATTCCCTTGATTAGATATATATATAAGAATGTAGGACATCATAACTTTAGTTATTAGAAATGATCTAACTAGTTAGAATATATATTTGTCTGGTTTTCCCCATTAAGTTTATTGGTATATTTAATGCAAACAATACAGTTACATTTATCATTGGGATCTTGTACCTTTACATGGTGTATCTTGGTTCTTATTTTTTCCCCATTCCCCTACCCTTCCTTCACCTCCTTCATCCTTTCCTATTTACAAAGACATTGTTTTCATTTTTTCACATTTTTTCTTTTCTCTTATTTCCTTTCCCCTCCCCTCCTATTTGTCTATTTTTTAAGGAAAAGTTACTTAAAAAAACTTTTTGGAAAGTCTTTTTCAAAAGTAATACTTTCCATTTGGTGTTTTCTCACCTACAAGAAGTGGTGTAGGCAGACAGACATATTCAGCTAAATATCCACAAGGTAGAAAGTAAGATACAAACACACAGGGTCCTCACCACTAACTATGGATGGATGGGAAGGTAATGGGAGCAAGATGTGTGTGCAGAAGTACTTGTGATAATGGTCCTTGCTGTTGTTTTACAACCTCATCTAGTGAGCAATTTGCTTATTATGATTTATCACATATTCCCTTGGGTAGCCTTAAACTACTCTCCATTAGTTTGAACTTATTCAGTAGATTATGGCATTGATTCTTTTATTGCCTTACAGGTGAATTTTTCAATATCCGATCTTGACTAATTCTACCTCTTTTTCATTACTCCTAAAACATTACCCTATTCTTGCCTTTCTGCCCTGATATTTCCCTAATTATTTTATCCCGACATCAAGGTTAACAGCTCTTAATTTATGATTATCTCTACCGTAACAGTTTTCTGTGAATACTCTTAGATGTACCTGTCGTAGGTCTAATTGATGAGTTCATATGTTTTGTGGATTAGCAGTTAAACAGTAGATGGCTGATAAATTTTCTCTCTGAAGATAATGGTCTGAAGAAAGTTGAGTCTAAATCACACTGGAGTCCCTTAACCTTCATATTAATAGAAATAGTGTATGTTTGACATGACCAAGTAATATCTTGTCAAGATTTTCTGTCTTTCCTATCCAATAAGACCCACAAATCTCTAAGCTCTTGGCAGGCAGAAGAGTGTTTGACTTTTCCTCAATAATCACTTGCTACATTTTATTGTCAGTTTATTTCAGTGGGTAATAGTTCGTTTTATTCATAAAATACGTCTTGCCTAGGGAAGGGATCTTACCCTGTCAGAGACTTTTTAGATTAATATTTCTCAAAATTTAGCCTTTATCAGAATCTTTTGAAGTGTTGCTAAAACCCCAATTACCAAGTTGCCACCACCAGGGCTTCTGACTTCTTAGGTCTGAGGTAAGGTCCTAGAATATATACGTCCATTGAACAGCCATCGTTGCTTTTGCAATGGTGACCATAAGTTTGCATATGCTGTCTTATTCCATCCCCAGAACCTTATACATTAGGTATCACAGTACTGCCTTTACTATAGATCACTGCATTAAGCCTCAGAGAAGTAAAGAGATATTCCTAAGTTTACTCACCTGGTAAGTGGATCGTGTAAGTTTTAAATCCAAGTTTACCTTATGTGAAATCCCAGATATCTAACTACGAGACTGTCCTGTTTGTTTTCACACATTACAGTTTTACCTGTCTTCTCTCCTCTCCTCTCGTCTCCTTTCCTTTTTCCTTTCATCTCTCCTTTCCTCTTTCCTTTCCCGAGATTGAACTCAGGACCTTGCACGTATGAGGCAGGTGTGGCGCCACTGAGCTAAATCCCTGGCCCTAGACATATCCTTTTCAAAAATCACTTAATACAAATGTCCTTTGACTCGTTCTCAGTTTCAGTCAGAATAAAATAAAAGGAACATCATGTACCTAAGGGGAAAATTAATTTAAGACTCTGTCCCGTGCAGATGACTGTCAGTGTTTTTAAGTATTGTTTTAAAAGGTGAGTACTTGGAAAAATGTGTCTTGTCAGGCATAGGTATGCATTCTCTTGTAATACCTGAATATAGAAAGACTGTTTTGACACTGAAAACAATAATAAAAATGAAGCATGTCTTCATGGTCACATAGGAGTTTGACAGGAGCTCCTGAGTTGTGACTCTACAATATGGGCAGTTTCTAGGATTATGGTGTTACCCTTTTTTAAGGTTTAGCACTGTTTAACAATAAACATTTTCTGAGGATTTTTGAAAAACAAAAGCAAAAAGTTTTTATCAATGTTTGCTGCTGCTCTTACCTTCTGTGCAGGACATGGAGCAAATGATCGTTGATAAAGCAGCTTCTTGCCCAGACGAGACAACCACCACCCCTCCCCACTCATCCCCAGATAGGTGAAGGAAGAGTGTTTTGAGAGCTTTCATTTTAAAATTATATGAGTTACATTCAGTCATTAGTGTTGCAAGACAAAGATCAGTAGACCACCTATCTCATATGTAGGCTGGAACAACAAAAGCTTTCAGATCTTGTGGACCTGGGAGATTATTATTACTCCTACTATTACTACTTTTAAAACTTTATTGTTTTTAATCATTATTATATGCCAGCTATTATGTTGCTATCAGGATTTGTAATGTTATGTTTTTCAATTTGTGAGGATTCACATAGGTTAGGCTAACTTCATTCATTTTCTATGATGAGTAGCTTTACTGAGAAAGTTGTCATAGAAATATGACTGCAAGGTTCATGTTTAAAAGGCATTTTCTAAAAACATCAATTTATACAACTAATAATTATAGATAATTCAGATTTATTCACTAAAACAGGTACCTCAAAGCCTGTTACTCTCAACATCCAATTAGGCGGGTGTCTACTTTTATATTTTCACAAAACCAAGAAATTCTGTTTACTAGAAAATATCTTTTATTTACACTCTAAAGCTATTTTGGTGGACCATGCTGTCTTCCCACCCTTTTCTAAGTCCTTATTAGTCAGGTGTTACTGTAACAGTTGTTCACTGGGCAGTTTATCAGAACCGAGGGCCATTTTGAAGGTGTAGAGAATGCAGGCAACGCTTTGAGACCCTTCAGTGGTGCAGCCCATCTGGTAAGAGCAACGATGAATTCTTCACACTGAAATCTTACAGAATATATGGTGCATCATAGAGCAGTTTGCTTCTTCCGTTCTTCTGACTTTTACCCACTTAAATTTATACATAGGTGTATGTATGTAGTTTGGTGCCACCCCAAAGTCCAGCTGTTGGCAGCAAGTGGCTGGCATTACAGTTTTAAGCTTTAATTGAAGGAGAAAAATAAAAGTTTTAGAGGGAGAAACATAGCAGGCGGTAATTGCTTTGCTAATGACCATAGTCTGCACTGTGTCTGCACATGACAAATAGTGCTGTATGTTCCAAACAAGAACACAGTCACTTGGTAAGGCGGTCATATCTGTCCAAAAGAGGAAGAATTACAAAGGCCCTTTTAATTTTCCTTCATTACATGTCATTGGCTCAATTAATCATTATGCTTGTATATATACATATATACAGTAAAATTCTAATAAATTACTGCTTTTTCATCTTTTGCTTCTCTTAAGATTTATGGCTGTTAGATTTAATTTGTTTGCTATTCATAGCATTTTTCCCTGTACAGCAGCATGCTTTTTTGAATCTGAACGTTCTTCTGTGTTTGCCCCATTTCAGTATTGCTTACTAACATTTAATATATTTTGCTTTTTTTTTTTAATTTTGCTGACAAAGTTGCATTGATGAAAGCTGACTTGCAAGGTAGATAGCCCTGTGTGTATAAAACAAGACTGAAACCCCATACTACACAGTGGAAACCCTAAAATAACATTTATTACATTTCTGCAGTAACTGTTATTTGGGTTTAGATTTCTTTTTCTTTTTTTTCACGTCTAGAGCACTGTGCAAGAAACCTCATTTTGTAACATCATTCGCATAAAGGCTTTCAGTCTTGAATATGTTTGTATAGTGATTGCCTTTAGTGCTTTGATCATTCCTTTTTAGTTCTTTGTTTTTCAGTGTTCTACTTATGACTCTTGAGAAACAAACTAGCATTCTTTTTACTTGTTCGTTCAATGGGGGCATGCCATTTCTATAGAGTCTTTCATTTTATGTTTAATTGCATGCAGTTGTTAAAGCATGTGAATTGATACTTGCCAACATACCTACCCAAAACACCCAGCAATCATAACTTTATTCATAGTTTGTGCCAAGAAAGCTTCTGGAACTTCTAGGGCATTTCTGCATAACTCTCTTTGGTTATTTTACCAATCTTTATCTCAATTCCATGAAGTTATAATCTCCATTTCTCATGATGTCTATTCATTGGTCTGAAGTTAAGGAGATCCATTCATTTTCTGAAAACTAAATGCTGACAGAGAATTATTGTTAAGAGAATGAGATTGCCTGTTACCATGACCATACTAGCAACAATGCACTTCCTTTTATTCTTTGTTGGTTTAGTTCATTACTAGAACATATTTTTTTCTCATTGTAGCAACTTAAAAACTTCATGTTATAGCCTCTCAGTTCTTAATTCAGGTGTGTGAGCAATAACTTTCAAAACTAGTTTGGACCTGTAATTTGAGGTGTTGGCAACTACTACATGTGATCTAGCTAATATATAAACTTGTGAATTTTTTTAAAGAACCCAAGTTTCTTTTGGTATATTTTGCAGGTCCTAGCACAACCTGTCAAGAGGACTCATGTTCCAATCAAGGTGTGTGCTTGCAGCAGTGGGATGGCTTCAGCTGTGACTGCAGCATGACTTCCTTCAGTGGGCCCCTCTGCAATGACCGTAAGTACTGTCCAAGGACAGTGTGATGATGCTTGTTGATGCTTCTGGCTGCTGTTTGATATCCAGGGACTGAACATGGGAGTCTCTGTACTGCCTCATAATGAACCGTCATTGCCAAGAGACACAGTTGTTTGCGCAAAGAGGAAAAGTTTTATATTTTAAACCATTACATAGGGATTCCATTTGCTATGTGCTGTGAAGATGGTGATTCTTTAGCTTTGTACTGTTTATTATTATTATTATTATTATTATTATTATTATTATTAATGGTCATCTTGTATGAAAGAACCTTCACATTTCCTATATATCAATTCTCTTATAGCTTTGTTTAATAGTACAAATTGATTTACTTAAAAGATTTACCAAAAATCACAACAAAATTGAGATTATCCTTAAAATGATTAATACTTTGTTAAAGTTTAGATAGGATTAGAAGGAAAAACTGGTACTGGTTGGGCAAGTGTCTAAATAATTCTCGGCCTTTAAATACAGTGCAGCTGATGACATATTTATTCAGCTATCATACACTGTGGAAACAGCAGAAATTCATCCTCAGAGAACTTCTTTGCAGGTCAGATCATCTGTAACCCCTGCTCCCCAGGCTGTCCTTTTCTACTCCTTTGTACCCTGAAGACACTTACAGGACAAAAATCCCTGTGTTCTCTCTCTACCCCATTCACTATCCATATAATCATATAATCTTCTCCCCCCTAAGGTGCTGTGCAGGCCATCAGCAGTCTGCTGTCTGCAGCTGGAACTGTGTGGCTAGGATTTTTGTAGGGACAGCCTTATTTTCATACTTCACATTAGCCATGAGTGGAGTCAGTCACTTCCCCTACACAGTCTAGAATTTCTCCCATGCAAATGAGGGATCAGACCTGTCTTTAGCAATAACATAGCTCACCACTGTGTGTCAACTCCCCATCCAGGGAATAAGTCTCCCCTCGTTTTTGAAATTTTATCTTGAATTATATGTTATGAGATTGTATCTTGGTAGTGGTGAATTTTGTGAATGGTTACAGGTCTCATGTTTTCCTTTCTTCTACATCCATTTTAGTGCACTGATGTATTTTACTTCAATATATATACATATATATATATATATGTATATATATTGAAGAAAAATACATCAGTGCACTAAAATGGATGTAGAAGAAAGGAAAACATGAGACCTGTAACCATTCACAAAATTCACCACTACCAAGATACAATCTCATAACATATAATTCAAGATAAAATTTCAAAAACGAGGGGAGACTTATTCCCTGGATGGGGAGTTGACACACAGTGGTGAGCTATGTTATTGCTAAAGACAGGTCTGATCCCTCATTTGCATGGGAGAAATTCTAGACTGTGTAGGGGAAGTGACTGACTCCACTCATGGCTAATGTGAAGTATGAAAATAAGGCTGTCCCTACAAAAATCCTAGCCACACAGTTCCAGCTTTATATATATATTTAATGTTCGTCCTTCAAGATTCTTCCTTGTATTTCATTTACTTGTGATTTCTTGCAGCGTTAGTCTCACAACAGAAGCAGGACAATGAAACATTGCATCCCCCTACATCAGCATATTCTGCTAGTGTCTAATCTATATTATTGCTGTGAGGGGTTTGAGAGGGAATTAACTGGTCAATAGGATAAAATTTTATTTCTTAACTTTCAAATAGGTCTTGCTTTATAGAACTTAATCAAAATGCTTAAAGCATTTCCAACAAAACATTTTCATCTATTATGTGCAAAGAATATCCCTGACAAAGCCTCCTGTTTATAGAGTACATGCTTTATGTTGTAAATACTACAACATATAAAGTTCTAGCATGACAGGGAATGTGATGGTTAAAGATTTGTGCTTCACAGCAGAGGCTAGAGTTGAGTGCGGATTTAATGAAAGCTTAGAGTTTGCTCTTTCTTACCTCTGTCTATTTAGACTCTATTCATATCAGTAGATGGTATATCACAATATCACAGGGAGGGTCAGGCTAAAATATTCTACAGAACCCGGTTGTTATACACTAGAAAATGGTACAGTTTACCAGCTGTCTTAGGCTTCCATTCCAAGATACTGGCTATAGGAAAGAAAATCAACTAACACACAGTAGAAAGCCAAATCATGCTTGGAAAAAGCCTTTAATGGCCATGTACCATAGGTGGAGAAATATCTGACCTCCATTTTACAATTGTCATCTTCCCTAGAGTTATAGTAAACCTGAAGCAATGCGTATATGCAAACACTGTATTTCTGTATATCAAATCACACTAAAAAATGATAAATTTAGTTTGAACCATATGCAAAGGTTTAATAAATACTTGTATATATCCAAAAAGTCAAGGATAGTGTTTAACCTTTATAAATGCTTTAGTAATGCCATGTGTCTACATCTCCAGAGCAATAATTTCCCGGATTTGCTCCTACCACATAGAAAATGTCATCAAATTATTTTCAAGGACAACCAGCAGACTGAAAAAATGTTATGTTTTTATTATGGCAAATTTTTACTCCTGAAAACAATCCTGACAGATGTATGACTACATGTGGCCGTTGAGAGGGCTTTTTGGGTATGAAAATATTTTTCATTTTGCTGAAGTTTATTCTCTGCCAAACTTTGCTTAATCTAGTTTCCATGTTTTACAAAACAGTTGCTATTTGGTTGTGTCAGCTCATGTATCCTCATCTACTTGCTAAATATGAATAATGCAATTTTCTGTGTGTATTTCCTAGACTTTTCCTAGGGGAACATCAAGATCCAACCTTAAGTATCACACTGTCTTCAAATCATTTTTTGCAGAAAATCATTTGAATGCTGCTCTTGGGTGATAGTGGTAATGGCAATGATAAGGCTATTTGTTATTTTCTTGTAAATAGATAAATGTCCTTCAGTAAATGTGTCTCCTGATATGCCTCTTGCGCAAATCAGCATTAAAATTACTTTGAGAGCTCTCAGAATACATGCATTTTGATTAAATCATTACCTGTAACTGGGTTTTCTGGAAACGTGAAATGGTTCTGTGGTTTGTACATTGGAGCTTCTTGGTAAGGAGGATATGTAGGTAAAATCTACATTTGAAAGAAAAGCTTATCTTTACATCCATTATAATTTATAGAAGGAACAATAATAATTGTTACTTTGAGACATACAAATGAAAAAAAATGGTTAAATGTCTTGTAACATTTCCCTCACTTTTAAATTTTTTTTTTTAAAGTAAAGCCAATCAGACCATTTTGTTTCTTTTTTGTTGTTGTTGTTACTGGGATTGAACTCTGGTCCTTGCACTTGCAAGGCAGGCAGCAGAACCACCAAACTAAATCCCCGGCCCACCATTTTGTTTCTTAATGGCGTTTCATTGTTGGCTTTGCAAACAAAAAAACAAACACATACAAAAAGGAAATAGAGAAAGTTCTTTTTAATAGGGGAAAGAATACACCATATTATAAAGAAGTACTCCTCCCTAAAATAGAACTTCTAAATGTCATATATCTGATAAGTTTCAAAGAGTGGGTTATAATAACTAGAAAACATTATTTATATTAGCCTGGAGATATAATTAACAGTGGGAAGATGGGAATGCTTTGTAGCTTGTAAATGTAATCTTGGATAAATCATACTAATTAATTGAACAGAAAGGAATCTTTCAAAAAAAAGAGGCACTTATGTAAAGAGATGCCAAAGGCTATGTTTAAAGAAATGTGTTTGTGAAAATTCTTTTTTCCTGTGGAAAATTGACATTTGAGTGATCTCATTTAAAAAAAAAATTGCCATGTGCCTGTGTGAACGTGTGTATGTGTGTGTGTGTGTGTGTTATATTCTTAACCCTTCAACTCTTCTTCCATCTTACTACTAAATATTTTTCTGGCTTATTGTACTAATTTCGTGGTTGTCTCCTCCCTTTTTCTTTCTGCTCTGATCATTCTCTGTGTCTCTACTAGTTTTATTCTTCCTATTCTCTTTGATTTAAATGTCACCTGTCTCTTATTCTCTCAACCACTGGCAATATTTTTCCTCTTCTGTTTCTATAGGTGTTTGTATTATTTTATCAGCCATCATTTTCTAACATGTAGTTTCTGTGTCTGGTCTTACCTCAATCTCATTCTGAGTCTATATGCATCTTCCAGGAATAGTATTTCTTTCTTTGCTCATAAACCCAGTGTTTCTATAGCATGTTGAATGTAATTGGTGATAATGGGACACTAACCAAATGTTGACGGAGTGCACAAACCTTGCAAGAAAATTTCTGGCATATTTCAGCGGCCAACATTATTTTCTTGAAGCATCTGTCAGGGGTTCATAAACCTCCATGGTCTGACCCCAGCCTTCATTTCCATACTTTTCTGTTGTAGAACCTCATCCATTGGTGTGTTACTGCCAGTTTACCTATTCATGGCTTTCTGTACAACATTATGCTTTCCAGTTTCCTCACCATTGTGCATTCTAATTTCTCCACCTAGGGAATGCTGTTATTCCACCTGGAACATACTCTTTTCAGTATCTCTGCTTGAAGGAATATAATTTCCTTTTCAATGTCTGCTTAAATTATCTTATCTCATGGAAATTTCCTTGGTACGGTATCCTGGACGTTACCTTTCTTCATTTGAAATCTTAGAAAGCCTGTCTATCGCTCTACTTCATATATAGATATTTGTGAACTTTCTCTGTGGTGGACTGTTGGTTGAATGCTTACTATATGCCAGGCCTATGCTAGGATAATGCATTTTACACCCACTCATCATTATCAAACCAGTGTGTTAACCAGTAATCCATTTCCGCTCTTAGCCAGTGCTTCAGAAAGGAATGTAACCATATTAGCTAATTTAATGTCAGGTTGGAGAAGATGAATATGGCTATGATCACATAGAAAATAGCAGACATAATAACATTGTCACATTACATTAGTATGGAAATGTAGTGTGCCAAATTACAGTTCAGCTTTAACAATATCTGTTACCATATGGGAGTAATATATCATAGTGCTGTTATTTTGGTGCTATAGCTTAGGGAACAT